ACGACATGCAAGTAGTTAATTATTTAAATTTATAAGTATTTATTTATTTTATAGTAATTACAATATCTTTTATTATTTTGTGGTAATTAATATTATTTAGATAGTTATATAACATTTTTTAGAAAAAATGATACTATATTACTCAAATAAAATGATAACTATATTATAAAATAATATACATTTAATAAGTAAAAGTTTTATTTAAATGAATTATATGTCATACCTTATAAATAAAACATATTACGTAAAGTAAGTAATCTATGTTTTCATTATTTTAATGCACATTACCTATTTTGAAATGATCATAGTAGGAGGATTAAATATTTCCCCTTAGTTATGAGTAAATTTACATCCTTAGTTTAGTTGGAATTAAAAATTTGAGAACCATAAAGTTACAAATTAAATGACAAATGTAATTAACATCAGAATTCCTTTGAATTTAAATTCTATATTTTTTGTTAGAATTTTGTGTGTTTGTTTCTTTTTTTTCTGTTATTTTCTTACTTTTGATTTCTGTTAAAAAAAAGCAACACGAGGATTGGATGCGTTGACCATGCCAAGCAAAAGAACCAATCACTAAACATAATATATTCCACTAATGATTATGTCTGCTCTTTGATAATTACTAACCACATAAATCATAAAATGCAGTAAAAAAAAAAAAAAGTTATACCAAGCTTAAACTAATCTTTATCTAACTATTTATTTATTTTTAATATAATTAATGCATATTCATAACAAATTAAATGTTGATAAATTCTACAGAACTTATTATCTTACTGCAAAATGAAGTCTTATTGGGTTTAGAGTAAAATTACATTGTGGGTTTAAAGGTGAAAATTGAGATATTGTTGGACAGGAGAAGTAATTGAGAAATTGAGATTGATATGAATGTAGGGTCAAGATTGCACATGTAATGGAGATTGAAATAATGTGTGGTCAAAAATGGTCGCATGGGTTAGGGATTGATATCGATATAGAATAAAGGTTACAAGTTATAAATCTTGTATATTTATGACTAATGAAAAAATATCAAGTTATGATGTCCAAAACACTTGAAATTAATATATCTCGAGATTAGAAGTATATGGGTGTATTGTATTCATACCTTGTAAAAATAAAAGTGATTATGTGTGTGAAATTGATATATTATGGATTATGATTGTTATTATGTCTTTAATGATCGTGACTACACATTTGTTATTGATGTAATTCTGTAATTGTATAAGTATTCGTATATATATTAAAAGTGATATAATAAAAAGATTAAAAATAATTATGAGTTCAAGATTTATACAATGTATAGTTTGACATATATGTATATAAATATGATCATAATCAATTTACTAAAAAATCTATTACATTTGTATGAATTATTTAATGTCTCGGTTTTTTCTTTCAGCGACACGTAGTCTCAAATAAGTTAATATACAAAACATTCGTATTTCAATTCAAATCAATCACACACATAAAGAAAAATACTGCAACTAATTGCTCAATTTCTAATAGAACTTCTCAACCGTAAGCACATCAATACAGTAGAGTACGAATTTTATAAATTATTGTTTTACATGCGATTTATATTACTACTAACTATGTAAGTATCAAATTCTACTAGTAGTAAATCTTGTTCCGTTTCCTCTATATGCTAGGTTCGAAAATCGTCAATTCCGATCCCCACTCCAGTCCTACTTCATCTATAAATAATAGAGAGTGATTGCATATAACTCAGTATAGTAAATTTAAATCACAAGTATAGCATGAAAACTCAATTAAAACCTCATTCTTATATGTTTTCCCTTCCCGTTACTTTGGTCATGTTTTCTTCCTACCCACCACTCCCATTACTGCTCCTCTAACTCTATGGTACTACCACGTCTCCTCTGCAATCAATTGTCAATAATACTAGGTGTGGTTACCCCCTGACATCACCTCCCCCTCAGCCCTGACTCGGCCACTCACCCACATTATTATCCCTATCCGTCACCAGTCTCAGTGACCATTCTTTACCTTTCCACCACTCGCCTCCTAGCTGGCCACCCACACACACCATTACTGTTTTCTTCCGTCACCAACATCGGCGACTCAACCCGTTACCAATCTGGAAACTCCAAAGCATCATCACTATCAGCGATCGACTTACTTTTTTTAGGTAACAACAATCAATATCGGCGTCCCTAACTCAACCACCTATAGGACAACCTCACTTTATCCCTACTCAATATGCCCCGCATACTCGCATACCTAACCCACACACCGGGTATTCCAACATTAGTTATTATTAAACCATTAACATTGTCAACAATTACCAAATATACAAACATATTTACAGAATATACACCAATACACATCCATACATAACACATTTACACAAATACACATCTACACCAAATACTCACACACACAACCCCTATATGCCTACACTTGCAGTTTCCAACCATTCCACTCCTCGTCCCTCTATTTCATTCTTTTTGTTTTTCTCGACTTCCAGCACTATTCTTCCTATCACTATCACTCTCTCACAGCCCTTCGTTTTTTCCTATCTATTTCTTTTAACATTTTACCTCCTATTCTCCCGTACTTGTTCTACTTCCAACCGTTCCACTATCAGTCCCTCTCTTCCCTCATCTTTGTTTTTCTCGGCTTCCAGCTCTTCTCCCTATCATTATCAATCCCTCACAGCCCTTCGCCTCTCCCTCTATTTCCCTTTCAGCATTTCGCCTCCTATTCTCCTGTGCTCGTTCTACTTCTCCAGACTTACACTAATTCACCTCGCCTCTCCACGGACTCTCTTACACCTGTTCACTCACCGTCCTCCTTTCTCTAACCGTAACCGAAACTTACCTTTACTCTCCCATTCCTCACTTCTTATACTTCATTTCCTAATTCCTTATACTATCTAGACGACACCTCACCGTACTTATCGATCTCTCCTCCTGCGACTTCCTCCATTTCTCTTTACGCATAACTCTAACCGAACTGTTATGCCACTTACGATCTCTTTATGTTATCCCATTCCATTAATCATTATTTCCTAATTCCATTTCCTTAGCTACTTAGACATTCCTTCAATATTTACAAGTTATAATTTCCCATTTTATCACCATCTTATACTTAGTATTTAAATTTACCATACCTCCGGTCTCCATCGTTTTTCGCGCCTCCGTAGCTCACACCGTCGCCTTCCTCATTCTCCCGCTCTCTCTTCTCGTTCCTTCCCTCTCCGACCTCTCTCTCTCTATCGAATCTTCTATCATTGGCCTCCTCATTCTCTTTCCCGTTCTCCCTTTTCTTTCCTCCTCTGTTTTTCCTTTTTTTTAAAAAAAAAAATTTCTTCCTCATATTTATACTCCCCCTACTACTCATCCTGACCTCCATCCCATCTCACCATCTACACTCATCCTAGCAGTCCATTCCCTCTCACAAACCCCACCTATCTTAGTTGTCCATCTCATCCTCCAAACAACACCGTTCGCTCCTCTCCTTCTCCCAATAATATATATATTTATTATTATTACCATATATATATATATATATAAATACATTATTTTTTCCTCCATCCAAATCTAAGTTATTACAATTATGATGTTAAAAATATTAAACGTTAATAAAATTATTCATTTATATTAATATGATAAAGTTATTTGAAATATGATTTCAAGAGCGTTAATAAATATTTTAATAATAAAATATTATACTCACAACTTTAATTGTCATATTATCTCAAATTTTAATAAATCATATAAAAAGATAATATAATTGAGTCATAGAGCTATATATACACATATACAAATATTAATGTGTATTTGATTACTATTAGCCTAATTTTGATGTCAAATACTACTCAAAAATTACGTTTAATTACATGGAATTGAAGTAATTGTAGTTATCAATTGAAAAAATTGAAATGCAAGAGTGGGAGCAATTGTTGATAGTAAAATTTTGTAGGCCTTTTTTGACTAATTAAATTCAATACGCTCAACTCTTTTTTCTTTACAATGACTAGTGATTTTGACACTACCATGATTCCTACCCAATCTCACCTATACATACACAGCAAACAAAAAAAAAAAAAAAAAAAAATCACCATACGATAATGATAGAGTTGAAATTTCCCAATACGAGAGTTTGTAATTGCCACTTTTCATTATATATATATAAGATTTTCTTGCCACTAATTCACAATTTTTAAGTTTATTAGCATATTTGAAAGTACTTTTAAAGTTTATTTCACTAAAATATTTTCAAGTATCAATGATGTAATATTTGTAGTAATTTAACAAAAATTAATCATCATAAAATATTTGCACGAATTATGTGTTAATATAAGACAAAAAGATTCAAATCAATTTTGAAAATGATAAATACATTGAATGTTATTTTAAGAATAAAATGTACCTTAAAGATTTGAATATTTATATCAAATTGGATATGTTTTTAAAGGTAAAGCATGTTTTACGGGTCATCATAAATTTTTTTTAAAATATTTTATATTCTCTGTATATATCATAGTATTATTAGGCAAACGAAATATTTTAATATTTTTTTTTATTATACATTAAAATAATCTTATATGAAATTTGTCAACAATTTATTTCTATTTAAATTTAATAATGATATATTTAAAAAAGCTTTCGGTTATAAAATTTAAATTAAAGAAACAAAAATATTTAACATTGATTTCTCAGCCATATTTTTAAATTTTATTATTAATTTAAAAAGAATTTCATAATTGTTGTATAAATAAAAAATAAAAAACAAGTAATATAATATGTGTGTGTGTATATGTTTAAATAAAAAATTTGAGAGGCCATATTAACAAACACCTTTGAAATTTAAACTAAATTTGTTTATAGCCAGCAGCAAAATTGTCTTGTCCCATTTTTTATTTTTTCTTCATTTTTTTAAAATAAAAAATTAATAATAATAAATAAATAAATAAATAAATAAATAAACTGTCTCAAAGTAACCCTGAAACCTTAATAAAAAGCCAGCTTGTCTTCAACATTCCTCCCCCTCCTCTCTCCATCTTTTTCCCCTTCTTTCATGGGTCCCTCCTCCTCTGCGTTCTCCCACTTGGGTTATCATTAAATCTTGCTCCCCCAGCAAACTCACTCACTCACTCGCTATCTTTCTCTTTCTTTTCTCTCTGTATTTCTTGATATTCCTTTATGGCGGATCGCTCGCTCGAGGATTTGGAGTTTTGGCTTCCTTCCAAGTTTCTAGCTGACGAGGATTATAATAACAAACTCATGGACAAGGCGGGCATCGGCGCTGGGTTCGGGGCGAATCGTTTTTGCTTCCCTTCAGAGTTTCCTTACGAGTTCGACTCGTTCGGGACCACCCCCTCTAATCTCAGCTCCCCCGTTGAGTCCGTCTTCGGGTCTACTGAGACAGAGAGCAGCGATGAGGAGGATTTTCTCGCTGGATTAACTCGTCGACTTGCTCTCTCAACTCAGAGAGTCTCTGTCCCGAGCTTCACTCGGGAGAAAACCGAGGTGGGATTTTAGGTGTTTTTGTCTTTATTTTGGTTTTGCTTTCGTGTTTTTTTGAAGTGAAACTGAGTCGCGTTGTGTGTCTTTCTGTGTTGTTTTTTGCTAGGAGAAGAGCCGAGTCATGGCCAGTTCGCCTCAGTCGACTCTGAGTGGAGTTGGTAGCTGGTCCGTGTCGAGCAGTGGCAGTCCCAACGGACCGTCACAGGTGTCCTCTCCCCCGACGACGCCGATTGTTGGCAAAGACGATACTTGGGATCTGATTTACGCGGCGGCGGGGCAAGTCGCGAGGTTGAAGATGAGCGGAGAAGGACCCATCAAGTGCGCAAATCAGCAGAGCAGAGGCCTCCTTGGTCCTCCTCGAACCCCGAATCACGTGCCTCCTATCAGGAACCCTAACTCTGTTTATCACAGTAACCAGAGTTTTCCTCAAAATCTCGCTCACACCAGTCAGGTAAGAAGGAAACCTTTTTAACTCAAAACCTTTTGAACTATTCATTATAGCGAGAGATACCCAACTCGGTTCTCAGCTCGAGAGAGTGTAAGCCGTGGGAGATTCATGTGGGTTTATCATATTTTCTTGCATTTTTTACTAGTCGGGTTGTTCGGTTCAGAAAGTTACAAGTTTGGGGTTTTTCTATCTTCTCGGAATGAATTTATGTTTTTCAAGTTCTTTTTCTGATTTCATCACCTTCATTGCAGTTAATGCGGCCGAACCTGGCAGTGAAGCACCATAGCGGTTCAGCCATGGAGAGGCAAGTGAAGCTCTGTTGGCAAGTTCAACAGCAGCAACAGATCCAGAGGAGGGGCTGCAGTGCGGTTGGGTACGACGACCGGCGCTGTTCACGGCCTCTAGGCCTGCCCCAATCTTCATGGCCGTCTCTTCAACAGCAACAGCAGCAACTGGTTCAGTCTCACCAGTCCCGGCCGGCCATGCGAGCCGTCTTCCTCGGCGGATCTGGTGTCAAAAGAGAGTGTGCTGGTACGGGTGTCTTTTTGCCTCGAAGATACAACAACCCAGCTCCTGATTCTCGCAAGAAATCAAGTATAAATCTTTTTTACTTCACAGATTTGAGTCGTTTCTCTCTTTGGTTTCTCTAATTTTCTCTGGAAATTATCCAAATTAACCTTTCCATTGTTTTGGTTTTCACAGGTTGCCCCACGGTTCTCCTTCCAGCCCGAGTAGTTCAGGCTCTGAATCTCAACTTTGAGGACATGAATATCCACCCTCAGCCACGATTCAGCCCTGGCTTTGTCCCAGAATATGGTAAGCCAAATAAGAATACAGCTCATATTTCATTTATGTATGTCTGAAGTTTCTTTGTTTGAAACTCCGTGCTTCTGTTTTTGCAGAGATGGGGAGAACAAATTCTGTTATGACTCAACAAAAGCGAAGTTTAAGACCGGAGACTGGCATCAGCCATGAAATGCATTTGCCTCAGGACTGGACTTACTGATTCACCGATTAAGTGTTGTTTTGTTGGACTTGAAGAAGGAAGAAGATGATGATTGCAGTGTAAAAGAGATTAGTAGTTTCTAATAGGTAAAAATATGGGTATTTGATTTACTATTTTCAAGGAAAAAACAGATTCAAGAATGTGTGTGTAGCTTAGGAGCAATAAGAATTAGATACAGGGCAGCTCTTCTTTGTTGCTTATATATTTTTTGTTGAAGGAGGTTGCAGCAGCTTCTGATAAGTAGGGATTATATAGATGAGAAGTAGGAAGTAATTTGGGGAAGAGGGTTTTGTTTGTTCTTTTTGATATTTTGGTTGTAATAAGTTGATTTTCTCTTCTGCCAATCATGATTTAAGAGGTTGGAGAATGATGGTGGGTTTTTTGTTTTTGGGGAGGTCTTGAATCTGGGAAAGTTTGCCTGTGAGAAAGTTTGATGTTGTTCTGGGAAGGATTTGTAGTTGTAGAAGAGGAGTCCATCAAAACCTTCTTGTAATATTTATCCCCTTTTGGCAGGTGATATTCTACAATAATAATATAATAAGAAGAGCATTTTGTTTTACAAATCCATTTGGAACTCTGTTTTTCTCTGCTTTGATTTTTCCATTCGATGATGGGTTTTTGTGATAGTCTCTGTTCTGTTTTATCATAGAAACAGGGCTTCCCCCTGTTTTGATTTGAATATATATAATTCACGATTTATAAAAGATTTATATATGGATCCTAATAATAATGATATGTTTCTTCCCATGGAAAAAGCTCTTTTTTCTTGAATTGGATAAGGAACTGAAAAGGTGTACTTTTTTGCTAAAACAAGGTTTAGGGTTTTTTAATTTAAAAGTAGTTTTAATTGACAAATGATATTGTTTGTAAAGATCTCTCATATATATATATATATGTGTGTGTGTATATTTTGACAGTTGGGAAGCACATTAGGGGTCTTCATTGATTTGATAATCAAAGGGACCCATCTTTAAATGGATTTTGATGTAATGCAAATTTTGTTTTGATGTACAAAAATTGGTAGTGGCATATGACAATCCAAGCATAAAATTAAATTAAAAATACACGATTATGAAATTGGGGGGTGTGTGTACCAACTATATATTAACTACAATGGTTAGTAAAATTAATTTGAAAGTTGGTATGTCTATAAAATTCAATTGGGGTTATATAAATTTTAGTGACCACTAATATTAATTAAAGGTTATGAAAATTTTAGAATTACAAATCTTTTAGTCTTAGAATTATTCTTTTGATATTGGAAACAAAAATATTTTCAATACACAAATCTAATATGAAAATACTCAAAACTCTAAAAAGAATAATTTGATTTGATTTGTGACTTTAATCTTCTTGGTAATTAAAGACATAAAGAGAAAAATTGTACATCAAATTTCAAATTCAAACACCAACAGACAAATTTAACAATTTAAACAGGGAAAATTAAAGTTTCATAGGCAGAGATTATATGGCCTTTTTCTTTTTCTCTCTCTCTCTCTCTCTTTTTTTTTTTTTTTTTTTGGAAAAAAATTCCTCCTTTAGATATGGTGATAATCATGGCCGCTTTAATTAAATAAGAAAAGAGGAAATTGCTTCAGCGTGAAGCAGAAGCCTGCAAAGGACATTAGGGTTTGAGGAAAAGAGTAAGGCATAATAAAATTATAATTCAATCAATATAATAATTTTTGACATTCCATTTTAAAAATTATAAGTTTCAACTTTTAAAATTTAACTTCAACATTTTATGAATATATCATATCTGCTAATACTGATCATAATATTTTATTTTAATTTATTGGTGAAATTAAAATAAACATAATCAGATTGGAGAAGATCAAAGGAAAAAAAAAATATATATATATATGTGTTCTTGTTTTAATTTTTAATTTTATTTTATTTTTTTGCTGTATCTTCTCTCTTGAACAGTGTCTGTCATTCTATTCCAAAAACGTCTTCTCTGCTCAGTTTTGCTTTTTCAACATAAAGAAATATCTATATATACACTAAAAGCAAAAGTTAGTATGAGACATCTTTGGTAGTAGTGCTTTTGGTGCTTGCAGTTTTGACTCGGTCAACATAGTTACTTAAATATTTATGGTTTTACCAATTTCTTTTTTGTGTTTTTTAAAGATTCAAAATATTAACTCCCACCATTCTCCCAAAAAATATACATATATATATATATATATCTAAAAAAAAAAAAAACCCTTTTTTTCTTGGTTGTTTAGATTTTAAATATAGAGACTAGAGCACATATATCTAAGTATTTTAAACATCAATTTTTTAATCCCAATATATATATATATATATGTATTATATAATATCATAAGCATTGCTTATTGAACAATTTGAAATTGGAAGATGTGGAAAATGGGTTCATTTCTATATTTAAATTAAAACTAGACTTTTTGTGTTGGCAGCACAGCACATGGGGGTGGGTGAAGTGTACAATAGCTTAACTTCAAAAAGCTTCAAATTTTGGAAATTGAAAACTCACATTAGGGGGTTTCCCCCAGGTCAAACGGGTTGCGGTTCAAAAATTTGTTTGATTTGGATCAAGCCCGATCCGATAGCCCACTGGGTTGGGCCCAATAAAACTAGCCCATCAGTTTCGTTTCGGCAGACTCGTGCTGTTTATTTTAACGCATAAAATATTTTATTTGAGAGAGGAGATGGTTTTTTATTTTGAAGGAAGAAAGTTTTGTACATACAATTTATTATTACTTTTGTTTAATTGCTTGCTTAATGATGAAGCAGGCTTTGTTTAGTACACAATTTTGTATGATTTACATGTAATTATATGTTACATATGATTGTTGGCATTTATATAACATATATAAGTGGAGTGAGGGAGGCCTTGTCTTGTGGAGAACTGCCTACCATTTTGGTAACAAGCCTGATTAATTTAGTGATTATACCATTAAACAAGACATAATTATCACTACCCAGTTATATATATATATATATATGGGGTAATTATTCATAATGATTTGAGATTCCAGCATGCTATGGTAAAAATAAGGGAGACAGAAACGGATGAGGACGTCATGATTTATTGCTAAAAAGTATTTACCTTGGCAAGAGTTGAGTTAAGTTGACTTGTCAAATTGGAAACTCATCGTTATCAGACTTATAACACCGTTAGTTTCGTGCCTGGTGGTGTGTCCACGTGGAATAATGTATAAAAATTACCAGCGTGGCAAACACGTGTCTGCCACAATGGCAAACAAAAACTTAGCCACCTGTACGGTCATCCTCTCCTCTGCTTCCAACGCGAGCTGATGATTTTTAATTTACGTTATTTATTAATTTATAATCAAATAAAATATATCTTTTAATTAATTAATTAGGATTGGTTGATGTTGATTTATTTTTAGAAAATTAAATATTATGTAATTAGTGCTTGAAATAATGTTTTATTTTAAAGTTTGAGTTAATTTAAATTATAAATTTATAAAGTTTGAATTAACGACACTTCCTTGTTCACGTCCGTCGACGTAGGCTGAAAGCCGTCCTCCTTCCTGTCCTATAGTTCAGGTACTGGTTGCAATCTTAATATATATCATATATGTATATATTATATGCAGAGGGAACCCTACAAATAATGAAATCTTCGTCAAACTTATCCAGACGTTAACTATTTATACACACACACACACACAAATATATGCAGTTGTTGTTGTTGTTGTCGGTGATTTAAAAAATTAAAAATTTGAGTAAAAATTACATTTAAAAGTAAAATAGAAAATGAATTAAAAGCTCTGTTTTTGTAAAATGTTAATTTAACCATAATATAAAAATGAAATTTGGAATAAAATAATTTTCACCAAATTAATAATGAGAATTTTATTTTTTATCCTTATAATAAAGAAGAGTAACTTATTTAAAATATTATATGACATATTTTTAAAGATTTAAATTTAAATAACTAATATTGTTGAAATAGTTATTAAGTAAAATGCGTTATAGATTTAATTAAATTAAACATTGTGAATAATTTATTCTTTATTTTAATTATTAGAGCATTTAATAGTAAACAAAATATTTGTCAAGTAATTTATATCCAAACCTACCCCCAAGGTTCCTTGGTCTTAGTAATTAGCATTATGTGTTGGAATGAGCAAACCTACTATTCTATTGATCATTTTTAAGAATCGATATTTCGGTTAACCACGTGCCCTTATATACAAACATATAAATATTATTTATAAGCATGAGCGGGCAAGCTGTGAAAATAAAAGGCGCAAAAGAATGGAGAAGCAGATCATGTCATCCACACCAAAAAAAATAAAAATGGAAGAAAGAAAAGGGAGGAGAGTCGTCTTGTTCCCATTGCCATTTCAAGGTCACATACGTCCCATGATCCAACTGGGTAACCTTCTCCATACCAGAGGATTCTCCATCACCATCGTCCACACCACCTTCAACTCTCCTGACCCTTCTCTCTACCCTCACTTCACCTTTCATTTCCTCCATGAAGATATTCTCTCTCAATCCCAAACAGATATCATTGCCTTCCTCAAAGTTCTAAACACCAACTGCCTTCAATCTTTTACAGACTGCTTGGCTCGGTTGCTCTCAGATGATCATGAATCTCCAATTTCTTGCTTCATTTCAGACGCGGGTTTTACTTTTACTGGGGAAGTTGCTCGCCAACTTAATCTGCCCAGATTGGTTCTGAGAACCGGCGGTGTAACTTCTTTCTTTGTTTTTGCTGCTTTCCCATTTTTAAGGGAAAAGGGTTATCTCCCTATTCAGGGTATATTTTACATATCTATACGTATTCACCAACTATATATATATATATATATATATAATAATAATAATAGATGTCATGATTTTTCTATTGAAAAAATATGTCTGTAACTGGGTTTATTGATTTGGGTACCAGAATCTCGATTAGAAGAACAAGTTGCAGAGTTTCCACATCTCAAAGTGAAAGACTTACCGGTGATAAAAACCTGCGATCCAGATTATCTGTTCGAGCACGTCAGTGGAATGGTCAATGGAGCCAAGTCCAGTGCAGGAGTAATATTCAACACATTTCAAGAGCTTGAAGACGCTGCAATTGCAGCTCTCAGCCAAGATTTTCAAGTTCCAATCTTTCCCATTGGTCCATTTCACAAACTCTTACCAAACAGCCCACCAACGCAGCCTGACCAAACCGCCGCCATAACTTGGCTAGACAAGCAGGCGCCCAGCTCAGTCATCTATGTCAGCTTTGGCACCTTAGCAGCACTAAACGAACAAGACTTTGTGGAAATAGCTTGGGGATTAGCCAACAGCAAGCAGCCATTCTTGTGGGTGGTCCGACCCGGATTAGTAAACGGGTCGGACTGGGTTGATCTGTTGCCAAAAGGGTTAATTGGAGACTTGAGAGAAAGAGGACTCATAGTGAAATGGGCACCACAACTCCAGGTTCTGGCCCATCCTTCAGTTGCTGTATTTTGGACTCACAATGGGTGGAATTCAACATTGGAGAGTGTTTGTGAAGGGGTACCCATGATTTGTATGCCATGTTTTACCGATCAAAAGGTGAATGCAAGGTATGCAAGGGATATTTGGAGGGTTGGGTTGGGATTTGAAAGTGGTAAGTTAATTGAGAGAGAGGAGATTGAGAGGGTGATAAGAAGAGCAATGGTGGGTGAAGAAGGGAAGGAGATTAGGAAGAGGGTTTTGGAATGGAAGGAGAAGGCTAGGGATTGTTTGGGGGCAAACAATGGGTCTTCATTTGAATCACTGGAGAGACTGGTAAGTCACATTTCGTCATTTGATTCCCTTGTTTTCTCCTCTCAATAAGTGCTTCAGGCAAGTTTTTTGAGTAGCACCAAGTAGTACAATGAATAAAAAATGTAGAACATATATATATTTTTTTTGCAATCGGAATCGCATTAAAAAATAGTTGTAATGTTGGGTGCTGTAATATTTATTGAAATAACTAATTTTTTAACAGTTAAATGTCCCCTTTGATTTAAATATATTTTATTTTAATTCCACTTTTAATCCTTATTATTTAATTGACAAGTTATATATTTAATATAGCATAATACAATAAATAAGTTTGATAGGAGTGGAATATTTTGTATTTTATTTGTTAAAAAATGAATTACCAAGATAATTAATTTGAATTGGATGTAAATGTTTTAATTATAACATCAATTTAAAATTTATAGAATAGTTAGTAGTAGAAAGTAACTAGATGTAAGTCAGATTGAGTTAATATAAGTATATTAGTTGATTAACATGGGTTATTCCTATAACCAATGTTAATCAGTTGTAATTAAATTAATTAATTAGTGTTACTCTCTCTGTATAAATACATATGGTACTACAACATGAAAGAAGTTTGGACATTAATACATCTGGACAACAACATGCAGATAAGAGTTTTAGTGGACATTTATACATAAACAATTTTTATTTATAATTTTGTAGAATTTGTTATTTAACTAAATAATTAGGTTTAATCAATGTTGAATTGTAATTATCTTATTTTTTAGGAAATTAAATACCATATAATTAGTGTTTTAAATTAAAATTAATTTATATATAAATATATTTAAAAACACATTAAAGTCTTAATTTTGAATTTAGAAATTTAAATTCACATCTGTTGAAATAGGCCGAAAGCCGTCGTAGTCACGTCGCTTTTCACCGTCCCTTCCTGTCCTCATGTTCCGGTAATAGTTACAATCTTATATATATATATATCATATATACATATATATATATATATATATTATAAAGAGGGAACCCTACAAATAATACAATCGTTCACCTAATTTATCCAAACGTAAACTATTTATATAACTCGAACATAGGCAAAATTCGGTTAATCATAATATGTGTATAGTCAAAATGTATGCAGTTGTATTGGTGGCAGTTCTGGTGTCGGTGGGGAGAGAAAAACTTTTATTTTTAATTTCAATTAGTTTAATTTATTAATGATTTTACAAAATTTGGAATAAAATAATTTTCAACCACATGTTCTCATATTATTTGTAATTATATAGAAATATATAAATGCTATATATAAGCATTACCCGGCTCTAGTCACCGGCAAGTTGTCAAAATAAAAGGCGTACAAAGATGAAGAAGCAAATCATATCATCCACAAAAAAATGGAAGAAAGAAAAGGGAGGAGAGTCGTCTTGTTCCCATTGCCATTTCAAGGTCACATACGTCCCATGATCCAACTGGGTAACCTTCTCCATACCAGAGGCTTCTCCATCACCGTTGTCCACACCACCTTCAACTCTCCAGACCCTTCTCTCCACCCTCACATCCGCTTTCATTTCCTCCATGAAAATATCCTCTCTCAATCCCAAACAGATATCGTTGCCTTCCTCAAAGTTCTCAACGCCAACTGCCTTCAACCTTTAACGGACTGTTTGGCTCGGTTGATCTCAGATGATCATGAATCTCCAATTTCTTGCTTGATTTCAGACGCGGGTTTTACTTTTACAGGGGAAGCTGCTCGACAACTTAAGCTGCCCAGATTGGTTTTGAGAACTAGCGGTTCAACTTCTTTCTCTGTTTTTGCTGCTTTCCCATTTTTAAGGGAAAAGGGTTATCTCCCTATTCAGGGTATATTGTACATATCTATACATATCATCAACTATATATATATATATATATATATGATAATAGATGCCATGATTTCTTTATTGAAAAATATGTATGTAATTGAGTTTATTGATTTGGGCATCAGAATCTCGATTAGAAGAACAAGTTGCTGAGTTTCCACATCTCAAAGTGAAAGACTTACCGGTGATCAAAACCAACAATCCGGAAGATCTGTTCGAGCTCGTCAATGGAATGATCGATGGTACCAAGTCCAGTGCAGGAGTCATATTCAACACATTTCAAGAGCTTGAAGACCCTGCAATTACAGCTATCAGCCAAGACTTTCAAGTCCCAATCTTTCCCATTGGCCCATTTCACAAACTCTTGCCAAGCAGCCCGCCAACACAACCTGACCAAACCGCCGCCATAGATTGGCTAGACAAGCAGGCGGCCAGCTCAGTCATCTATGTCAGCTTTGGCACCCTAGCAGCACTAAACGAACAAGACTTTGTGGAAATAGCTTGGGGATTAGCCAATAGCAAGCAACCATTCTTGTGGGTAGTCCGACCCGGATTAATAAACGGGTCGGACTGGCTTGATCTGTTGCCAAAAGGGTTAATTGGAGACTTGAGAGAAAGAGGACTCATAGTGAAATGGGCACCACAACACCAGATTCTAGCCCATCGTTCTGTTGCTGTATTTTGGACTCATAATGGGTGGAATTCAACATTGGAGAGTGTTTGTGAAGGAGTGCCCATGATTTGTATGCCATTTTTTACTGACCAAAAGGTGAATGCAAGGTATGTGAGAGATGTTTGGAGGGTTGGGTTGGGATTTGAAAGTGGGAAGTTAATTGAGAGAGAGGAGATTGAGAGGGTGATAAGAGGAGCAATGGTGGGCGAAGAAGGGAAGGAGATTAGGAAGAGGGTTTTGGAATGGAAGGAGAAAGCTAGGGTTTGTTTGGGAGAAAATAATGGGTCTTCATTTCAATCATTGGAGAGACTGGTAAGTCACATTTTGTCATTTGATTCCCTTGTTTTCTCCTCTCAATAAGTGTTTCATGCAACTTTTCTCAGCAGCACCAAATAGTATATTCAATAAAAAAGTAGACCAATTATTTTTGTAATTGGAATTATATTAAAAAATAATTGTAAGTTGGGTGTTACAGTAATATTTATTGAAATAACTAATTTTTTAACAGTAAATATATTTTATTTTAGTTCTACTTTTAAATGCTTATTATTCAATACACAAAATTTAGTTGTAGTTTATACGTTTTTAATATGACATAATACAGTAAACATTAATAATATTTTCAGTTTGATAGCAGTGGAATTGTTGTATTTTATTTGTTAAAAAATGAATTACTAAGATAATTAATTTGAATTGGACATGAAATTTTTTAAGTCAAAATTGAATGCAACATTAATTTAAAATTAATAGAATAGTTAGTAGAAAGTAACTAGATTTAGTTAGTGTAACTAAATTAGTTGAAATAGTTAATATAATTTTTTATTAATCTTGTAGTCAATGTTAATCAATTGTAATTAAGTTAATTAATTACTTTTTCTCTATGTATAAATACATAATAAGTTATTAATGAACAACACACAATACTCCTTTTTTTTCCTTCTTTTTTTCTCACTCTCTCTCTGTTTCTCTTTCTCTCGAACATTTTTGGTTCAAACTCATCTTATATTTAGAAGTTGATAAGATTTTTGATGATATTGAAATCCAAGATGGTATCAGAGTTCCATCAGTATTCTTAATCAAATAATTTTCTTGTAGCAACTAAAAAAAAAAAAATTTTTTTTAAATTCAAAAAAATTATTAAAACGTTCAATTAAAGTTACAAAAATAAAGAAAGTAAATTTGTGAATGAATTTATCTTTTTTGATTAATCAGTACATCTATTCAATAGATACTGTTTCGAATTTATCGAAAATAAAAAAGATTCTATTTATATTAAAAAGAGAATATGTTATTATAATTTATTTTATCATCGTTATCGATAATAATTTTTATTTTTAATTAGAGCGATAAGATATGATATTAATTTAAAAAAATAAGCTGAAATTTTTAGACAAATCTACACAAATTCTTAACAAAAATGATCTAACATTTAATGTTTGGAATCGATGCAATCCAATACTTCTTTCTTAGACAATGAGGTCTACGTCACCATTAATTGCACAAAGCGTGATATAAATAGATTATGATTTGCATGATCGGTTCACTTAGGGAAATGTCGTGAGAGTCTCCGATGCGCTACTAAAATAAACTTATGTCACTTTGCTAAGCCAAAAAAAAAAAAAAAAAAAAAAATTCCTTCTCCAGTAAGTAACTCAACAAGTAAAACAGTTTTTAATATGATACACCTTGATGTTTGGCAGCAAGCTTTGATTAATTTAGCGATTATACCATTAAACGAGACATAATTATCACTGACGAGTTATGTGTATGTATGTATGTATCTAATATATGGGGGACAATGATTTCAGATCCCAGCATTGCTGCGGTTAAAATAACGAAGATAGAACTGGATGAGGACATGATGATTTCATTGCAGAAATATTTAACCGAGCAAGCGTTATATAAAGTTGACTTGTCAAATTGGAGACTCATCATTTATCATACTTAGTGATTTTTAATAAAAAAAATTAATATTTTAGTACCCAAATTTCATATTATTTTTTTAAATTTAATTATAAATATAAATAATATTCACCTCATTTCTCTCTTTCAATTATCATATTTTCTCATGTAATTCAAATTAAAATCATCTACTATTTGTGGAAAGAATTTTTGTTATCCAAACCTACCGATGATTCCTTGTTTTGCCAATTAACGTTATGTGTCCGAACAGAATTTTTAATGTTGGAAGATTCGGTTCATGCACTTCACTTGCTCTCATGTTATTATATAGAAATATATAAATACTATTTATAAGCATAAGTTGTCAAAATAAAAGGCGTAAAAGGATCATATCATCCACACAAAATGGAAGAAAGACAAGGGAGGAGAATCGTCCTGTTCCCATCGCCATTTCAAGGTCACATCCGTCCCATGGTCCAGCTGGGTAACCTTCTCCATACCAGAGGCTTCTCTATCACCATCGTCCATACCACCTTCAACTCTCCAGACCCTTTTCTCTACCCTCACTTCACTTTCCATTTCCTCCATGAAAATATCTCCTCTCAATCCCAAACAGATATCATTGCTTTCCTCAAAGTTCTCAACACCAACTGCGTTCAACCTTTGACAGATTGCTTGACTCGGTTAATTTCAGATGATCATGAATATCCAATTTCTTGCTTGATTTCAGACGCGGGTTTAACTTTCACTGGGAAAGTTGCTAACCAACTTAAGCTGC